TTCAAAAACAAACAAACAAACAAACTTTAATATCACACATCTGGAAGAAAAGTTGAAAGTTAACACAAAATGCACTAATTAATATTTTTTGTTTGCTGGAATTCTGCTGATCTTCGTATTAGTAAACATTTTATGAACTTCAAGCGAAATCGCGGAGAATTAAGGTTAAACAATACAACCTTACTCCTTGTGGAATATTAGGCTGTAACAATACAATTACACTGACAAATAATATTGGCATGTCAAAATAAAAAAATCCAAACAGAAAAGTAAACATATAATGAACTTAGCTTTAACGATTAAAAAAAGAAGGTTACACTAAGAAGATTAGCACATTCCCCCAAAATGGTTTACAACATATATATACATTAGAGCTTTAAGAGCAATGGGTGAACCGGTAGTGAATGGTATAAAAACAAGTATTTCTTTTTCTTTATACCCAAACTCTTCGGGTGTTACATTTTAATAATATCTTACTTTCACCTAAAATGTTTTTTATTTTTATATATTATATTTGGTTTCAGATACGGAAAATGAATATTTGAAGAATATTTGGTTTAAGATACGATTTGTTTCGTTTAGTTTGAATTTCGCGCAAAGCTACACGAGGGCTATCTACACTAGCTGTCCTTCAATGAACAGTGAAAGACAGCTAGTAATCACCAAAGAATAGTGGGATTGACCGAAACATTATAACACCCTTACGGCTGAAAAGGCGAACATGTTTGGTAGGCCGGATTCGAACCCGTGACCAGGAACGTCGAGAGCCAGCACGGGCCCCGGGGCAAACATTCCCGCCGGGCTCCCTTTCTCTCTCTCTCTTTTTTTAACATTTTAAGAACTTATTAAAAGAAGATCCTAAATTAGGACAGCAACGAGCTCATAAACAAGATATCAGCATCCGTTTTTAGCTCACAGCAAAAGCGTGAAAACGTTAATAAAGTGACAACAAATAACTATTAAAACTATAAAGTAACAAATGTATATTAATTATTACTTTCATTATTATTTCAATCATTCTTAATGTATCAAGCGTCTGTATGCAAAGAAAAGCCAAACACTATGCTTTTTTTATGAGTAAATGAAGATATATATTCTAAAGGTGCTTTTCGGGCTTTACGGCATAACCCGGTTTCAAATTCGATGACTTTGAGGCTAATAATGCTTTGGAGACGGCTTGAATTAAAGTTTATCTTCATTACCCATTCAAGCCGTCTCCAAACATTACCAGGTTTCAAATTCGATGACTTTGAGGCTAATAATGCTTGGAGACGGCTTGAACTAAAGTTTATCTTCATTACCCATTCAGTTGCCCCCTTTGCCCACCCCCGTCGGTTGAGCGCCCTAATCACCTGGTCATGCCAGGCCCTTAATATCGAATGTTTCAATGAAGTTACAAACTTACAGAGATATTTTTTGTACTTATCTTTGTCCTCTTAAGCTGTTTAGTTGTCTTACACTTGAAAACATAAACAACTCTTTTCATTTTCACACGACGTAAAGGAATCGAAACAACTACGTAGCTGTAAATTATTTCAAGTTTTAACTCCACGTTACTTGATTCTAAAATATACACCTGGAAAAAAGTTAAGCACCCCCAAATATTTTTCAGGATTGCTTATTGAAAATAAGGTTTAATTTTCATGATGTTGAGTAATGTTCGTAATTTCAAACATAATTAAAAGGATGTGAGCGTTCAGGTGCAACATTTAAATCAGGCGCGTTTTTTTCCCCACGTGCAACTTGCTCCCTTCTTCACGTCCAATATGCACTATTTTCTCGTGCATCAAATCCGTATTTAAGTCCCGAATTTCTGAATGCAACATCATTTTAAGTA